GTGTGTGTGTGTGTGTGTGTGTGTGTGTGTGTGTGTGTGTGTGTGTGTAACGCCCAAGGTCAGGCAGTAGTTGTGTGGCCAAACGGGGGCCAAAGCCTGGCCCACAGCTTTGGGTTGCGCCCATCTCTGTTGAGGGATGAAAAGTGGGAGGATGCGCGGTCTCGAGGCCAGGCTTCTAGTCTGGCGGAGCGCTCAGTCCCTGGGCTCCTCTCCAGTTCACCGCAGCGGCGTCTGGGGCTTGCTTCTCAATTCCGCGGACCCAGGGGAGCAGTCAGTGGGAGGGAATGGACTTTGAAACCTTCCTATATCTCTAACCATCCTAATCCTGCCCCAAAGGAGAGGAGTTTGCCAAGGTCACTCACAATCTGATCTTCACCCTCTCTGCTCCTAGAAGCCTTGACCCTTGCTCCACAAAGCCTGGAACTTTGTCTCTTTCAACTTGGGCGGGTGAGGTGGCTGCTGGGACAAGGGCATAGGATTCCTCTTGGGGCTCCTCCTGGACTCCAGAGGTACCTGTTCTCCCAGACCACCATACCCAGACACGTGGGGGTGGGGATGGTGGACCAGGAAGCAGTTCCCAGGAGTTTGGTACCTTCCCCTGCACTGGTCCTGCCCAGGATTGGCAGCTGAGGGAGGGTTGTGTTTCTAGATCTAGCTACAGAACAGCAGGAGGAAGATGAGAGACAGATAGGTGGGGGAGCCCATATAAGGAAAGAAGGTAGCCTTGGGAGCACATGGGAAGTTATGGGGGGCTGGGCTGTGCCAGGGATCCAAACCGGGGGAGGATAGCTGGTGTGTGTGTGTGTGTGTGTGTGTGTGTGTGTGAGAGAGAGAGAGAGAGAGAGAGAGAGAGAGAGAGAGAAGTGTTAGTCAGGTGTACCTGGCAACTATAGAATGCACACCCAGATCTTGATGTCAGTGAGCAGTACATGGTCCCAGAGGCCATAATGGCAGGTCTCATGCTCAGCATGCGTTGTAGGGCTAGTGAGAGACATGGGCTCAGGTCCATGGTGGGTTCTTTAGGTGCCTTAAAAGTCTGTGTTGTTACCTTTTTTAAACTGGTAATTCCCCCCCCCCCCCCCCCACACAGCCCCTAGGCATTCCTTTTAGAGCAAAGATGTAAAAGGCAAGAGGGAGGAGTCTGCGAAGGTGCCAGTGCCCCTCCCTCTGGGATAGAGGAGCCCTTGTTACTCCAGTGCTGGAAGGAAGCTCTCGTGAAAACAAGGATTCTTAGGTAGCTGGTACCCAGGTTTCCCAGTGACTGACCTCCAATTTGATGTAAACCCCCGACTCTCCACTGAACTCAACCATGCCCCTGCCCACAGGGAAGATGCCGCTTCCACAGAGACAGTGTGAAGGTAAAATATCCGTAAGGAAAGCATGTGTTGAAAATCTTCTGCCATTTCGAAAGCATTTTATCCTCTATAATATTTGTATTCAGGTCTCATATTGACGCCTAAATGGGGCATCAAGGTAGGGAAACCTTAGTGAAGGGAAGCTGGTAGTCCTCAAGGGTTTCAGATGTCTTCCCCTCACAGAATTCCAAGCACCCTGCAGCCTGTCAGTGAACTCTACCCCTTAGCGTTTGAGATGCCCAAAGAAGGTGGCATTTGCTTTAGGACGTGCTGGTGTACTTCACCGCCTTTCTGCCACCTCCCTTCAGCCCCTGTTACCTCTGCTGTGCAGCCTTCTGCTGATGGCACTGCCTCTTCGCCTCCTAATTCTAGGCAGGCGGTAATGGGGAAGAAGGCTTGGAGCAGCTATGCAGAAGAATCTGAGAGAATGAGTCACGGTGGAAACCCTGCAGGGTGGCCCTTGCTGCACACACAGGGGATGATGCTTTGAGGTGTTAGTTCCGCACGGGAGTCCTCTGGAGCTGAGTCCTAGGAAAGCTCCAGAGTCAGGTGTGCACCTCCACTTCAGACCTTCCTGTCGAGGGTAGAGACTCCGAGCAGACCTACATTTTTTTTTCACGGAGGTTTGGGTTCCAGATCCTGTCCTGTGCAGGGGAGAAGGTCCCTTCCAGAACCGCTGCCCATCTTAGGGAGGTTCCAAGAGCCGTGGGGAAGTAAGGCAGAAGAGCAGAAGGCCACTGCCTTGCAGTGCTACTGAGGGGAGGAGATTCTTGGGAAAAGTGGGCCTGGGCTGATCCAGCCACTGGCTCAAGGCCTCCACCCACGGTGGTCTCCTGCCATCCTTTTCTGAGCCTGGAATAGAGGAGGCAGACAGGCTTGTGCCCACTGGCTCTGAGCTTTACCTAGTGTTCTTCATAGACGCTGGGTGTTTGCTTTTTGCCCCAGATGAGTCCGTATTACTGTTATTATCATTTTTTCAAAGTAGCCCGGGTCTATTGAACTTGCGTACACTGTGTGTTTTCAGCTAGGCTGCCTATCAGGGTAGAGGAAATGGACTTCAGTTTCTGTCGGTTGCCTGTGGTGGAGATCAGGGTTGTTAAGGAATATGTGTGCTCTTGTTTCTGTCTATCCCCCAAGCTGTGGGTAGCGCCCTCTGGGGTTCCGATGGCTTCCCGTGTACTCTCTTTCCTTTAACATCCTTGACACCTCTGGGGTAAGGGCTCTAAGCTCCTTGGGTGCACGGGTGACTGCGCACAGAGCAGGGTGGCTCAGGTGCTGACTTATATGGATGCAGGTGGGCTTGTGAGTGAGGGGTTTCCAGTACTTCAGGGGTTCTTGCAGAATCATGTGAGCTGGGGTGCGGGAGGATCTCTGTGCCTCGGTTTCCCCCACTGTCAATGGGAGCGGTGTCATAGGACAGCTTTCTGGGTCCCATGTGTGGACTGTGTCTGGCAGGCGTTCCCTGTCCTGTCAACCTTCTGAACTCAGTGACATGGATGCTGCCACATTAGACAGATGCGTGAAGTCAGTGATCTGCTAGTTGGTCTCTAACTGCACAAGCCACACTTTGGCCTGAGGTGCTTTCAGTGTGCTGAGATGGCACGTGATGACAGGGTACTCTGCCAACTGCAGTGGCCCAAGCCGAGTGTGGCCAGAAGGGCCGCGTGGCTGTGGTGGGGTGCTGTCCCTGTGACCTAGGGCCTTGTGCCTTCCCCTTGCTTGGCAGGCCCTATGGAGCCAGGACTGGCAGCCTAGACTGTTGCAGGAGTGGGACCCAAGCCTCATTATTGACAGAACAAGCAGGGGGTGGGGCAGGGAGACTGCTCTAATAGCTGTGGGCTCTTATCTTCATTTCGGGATGAATGAGGCAAGGAAAGAACCTCTGCTCTGTAGGACACTGTTTGACAGTGCCTGGGGACATGAATCATACCTGCCCCTCCTCTGTTCACCCTCACGTGCAAGCACACATGCCCGCTCAGAGGCACACTCACCCACTCCCATGCAGGCACCTACACAAACGCTTCACGTGCATCCTGCCATATTCTCCCACTCACTCGCTTGTGTTTGCATGTAGACACACCCACAATCCTATATGCGCTCCCACACATCCACACAAATACACCTCCACGCATACTCAGGCTCACTATCGCCTTTACATCCGTGCAGATGCACATGGAAACACAAACACACATCACTGCACACTCAAGACACTTGATGGACATCCACATCTGCCTGGATATACTCTTACACCCATTTTCATGTTCGTGCACCTATGACCACACACCAGTACATACATGTTCACCTGCACTTAGAACCTCATGTCTTCTTGTGCATACACAAAGCAAACACACATTTAGGAATGGGTATACTCTTGCACACACGTGACAGTCATTTGTGCAAGCTCATGGACACTCAGGCCACAGGGATGTTCCAGTGTATTTTCTCTGGGGTAGACGCATCAGTAGCGGGGAGATGTAACCTCAAGGTAGCCTGAACAGAGCCCCAGCAGTACGTGGACAGTGTCCTGCACCCTTGCTTCCTTCCATGACCTTGGGTCACTTTATGGTCTGGATTGTAGAATGAGGAGTCCAAGCTCAGACCTTGTCTGGATCAGTGAGATTATGTGTGTCTGAGTGGGGCCCACGTGCCACAAGGACAGTGACTAGATCTGGGATTTCCGAGCACTCGGTGAGATGAGTGGGCCTCCCACCACTCAACCCAGGCCAGTATGGACTTGTGTCCTGTGTTCCCCACTCATATAGCCCCTTCAGCGTGTTCCTCCTGTCACCTTCCCTCCCTGGGCTCGTCCTCTGATTTTTTTTTCCCCGAGACAGGGTTTCTCTGTGTAGGTTTGGTGCTTGTCCTGGAATGAGTCCTTGTAGTCCAGGCTGGCCTTGAACTCACAGAGCTCCTCCTGCCTCTGCCTCCCGAGTGCCGGAATTAAAGCTGTGCACCCCCACTGCCCAGCTGTCCTCTGATCTTTTTACCCATCTCCATTCCCCTGCCCTCTTCTTCATTGTGCTGGGACCTACTGAGTTCTCATGCTCAGGGGCCCCGCCCTCCTACCACGGGCTGTGCTGAGACACTGATCTCAGGAGGAGGGTGGAAGTCCAGGCCAGGGCTGAAGGCAGCGTAGACCCTGAATTATCGGCCCTTGAATTGGAGAAAGGCAGGGTCTGATTCGATGTCCTAGGTGGGTGTTTGCTCTGCTTTTCGTTGGGAATAAGAAGAAAGCTTGGAGTCATGCTGCTTGAATCCCAGGGTTCAGAACGGAGGAGACCCTGGATTCTCCAGTATGAAGGTCAACCCAATGTAGCCACCTTCATGTGTGTACACACTCAGGTGTGTATTCATG